TTTGCAGGGTGCTAGAATGGTAAGAGAACTATTCGAAATGGCACGAAGTAAAAAGGCATGTTTGATCTTCTTCGATGAAATCGATGCCATTGGTGGTGCTCGTTTTGATGATGGTGCTGGTGGCGATAATGAAGTTCAACGTACTATGCTGGAATTAATAAATCAATTAGATGGGTAAAAAAAAAATTATCTTATTTATTCTTAAAAAAAGCTGCCATCTAATGTCAGTTTTTTTTTTTTTTTTTTCAGATTTGATCCGCGAGGCAATATAAAAGTTCTGATGGCGACAAATAGGCCGGATACGTTGGATCCTGCACTAATGCGACCGGGTCGCTTGGACAGAAAGATAGAATTTGGTTTGCCGGATCTTGAGGGACGTACGCATATTTTCAAGATTCACGCTCGTTCCATGAGTGTCGAGAGGGATATCAGGTTCGAATTGCTCGCTCGTTTGTGCCCTAACAGTACAGGCGCTGAAATACGATCGGTCTGTACCGAAGCTGGTATGTTTGCAATCCGTGCACGACGTAAGGTTGCAACGGAGAAGGATTTCCTCGAGGCAGTTAATAAGGTCATCAAATCATATGCCAAATTCTCTGCAACACCAAAATACATGACCTATAATTAGAACTCATTCGCAAAACGTTTCGCATTCGATAAGTTATTATCAGCGCGTCATATAAATCTTATAATTAATTTTATTGCTGTATCTATTGAATTAATCAAGAAACAATTTTATTCTCAAATAGAATATAATAAATGTTGTTTTCTAATACAAGAAGTTTCTCTGTTGTTACAGTCTCGATGACTTATTTTTTCTATGCATGTAGATTTTCAAATCTCAATTTAATAGGTCCATCAGGTTTATTGATTAGTAACGAAATCGAATCAAGAGAGTCTCCACACCATGTAAACCGCAGGTTTCTGCAGATCTGAAAAGAATTTATTAAATCATTATATAATTGTGCATTATAATATGTTATGAAAGAATGGTACATAATTCTTAAGATATATACCCGGAGTAAAATAACTTGCAAATTTTGTTCAGAGAATCGTCTTGCAATGCACGATCGCGGACCATGACCGAAAGGCAGTACAGTATATGGGTTGAACTTTCCTTTCAACTTAGTTTCTTTGTCATTGTTATCACGTAACCATCTCTCTGGTCTGAATGAATTTGGTTCATCGAAATATTCAGGAAGTCGACAAATCACTTGATTTTGTGTCACAACTACAGTCTGAAATGTTTCATTAAGATTTTCTCTTAAAGATTTGTCTTTTACGTCACTATTTTTAAAAATAAACGTTTATTAATGAACAAAGATACATTACTCCTTCGGGAATGTGATATCCGCTCAGAACTACATCAGTTTGCAGGATACGACCTATTCCTACAGAGAGAGGATTTAATCTGAAAGTTTCTTTTATTACAGCTTTAGTGTATGTAGCATTCCTTAGGATTTCCGCCGTTATAGGAGACATAGGATCCGTTAACAAAGCCGCAGCCTCTAATCTCAATTTTTCTTGTACACTTGCATTTCTTGCAAGGTGGTACATGGCGAACGACATACTGTATGTCGTCTAAAATAATATAAAACTCGTGCATAAGTCAATTAAAAAGAAACTGGACTAGGCTTATAAAAATTTGAATATTTATCTAATTTACAAGTTTATAAGTCTATTGAATACTTACGGTATCAACACCAGCGAGAAACATATCACATGCCATTCCCACGATATCTTTGATGTCTAAAGTCTCATTTTTTAAATATTCCTCGAGAAGAGACTGTTTTCGACATATTGATGCATCTTTATTTTTCTGAGTAACCATTTGCAACGCTATTCTGTGTATATCCCCAAAAATTATAAATTAGAATTGAGTAAAGTCATGAATAAAGTTTCAACAGAAATTTATATTATTATATGTCATGATCCTTCCATAAATAATACAAAGATTTTTTTGCGATTTTTTGTATAAAAATGGCATTTAAAAAAAAAGTTTGTTAATTATTTTATAATTTGTTAAATCTAATTTTGATAAAATTTAGAGAAGTTTAGAGATATTCATGTATAAAAAATTTATTTATTTATATCAACATTTATTTTATGATATATCATTATTTTTATATGCTACAAAAATCTACAATCGTACAATCAATTTTGTTTCAATTTATCACTTTTTTTTAGATAAGAATCAAATATATTTTTAAATAAAAATTGCTTACGTGAGCAGTTGTTATTCTTTAGTGCAGAAAGTATATACAATTATTTCCGAATTAGTAGTACATACATGTAGAAATCAAATATGTAAATATGTAGGTGCGACCCGAGTTACGCATGAAGCACATGATGCATCATTCGTCCTCGTTCACCAAATAATAAAACGATATACCACGCATTTCATGTGTAAGGGTATATCCACACGAAATCGCATAAACGTATGTATAAAAAAAATTATCCAATCGTATTTCTCCTATAAAGACGCACATTAAATGTGATCGGATAATTTTTTTTATGCATACGTTTATGCGGCTGTGCAAGTTTGTGTAGATATAAGCGAGGAGCACAGATTCTTGCATAACACGTAATGCATAAGAAAATAAACCAATTAAAGTCCTCCGTTTCCTTCCTTTCCATGAAATAAAGAATTCTGATTGATTGAATTTCTTATGTTTTATGTATTATGCGTTATGCAAGAGTCTACTTCTTGCTTAATGGGCCTTCTACAATAAGCCATTATTTATAAATCAGAAGTCAAAAGCTAAAAATTGACGACTATGTTTGGTCAATTTTTAACTTCGGACTTTTGATTTATGACTAATGGCTTATTGTAGAAGGCCCATAAGGGTATAGCGGGGAGCATAGCTTCTTGCATAACGCATACAATTTATTCCCCTATGGCAAAGGGGGGGTCACATTCACGTCACAATAATTAGGAAGAAAATATGATGTCACTCTGAGATTACCATAAAAAAATAATTCTAAAAAATTAAAAAAAAAGTGTTGCAATTTTTTAGATCCTGACTACGAATTAGTACCAAATGCAAAACATATTAAAATGTATGCGATTGTATACGAAAATGTATTAAAATGTATGTGAATGTATGCGATTCCAGAGCATTGATTTTCCAGAATCGAGTAAAGCCCTGCCAGGCAATATGAATACAATGCCAGGCGATAACCTCGAGAGCGATAGTGATAGCAGAGGGAAACCTCAGAGAAATCCAACATTTGGGAATGCATATGTCAATGCACATAGGAATACAGAATAAAACAATAGCGATAAATTTCCTTATTTTTATATGATTTTATCGGAATTATTTCTATACTATTCCTATCGCTGTTGCCTTGCTTTGTGTCTAGAGCCTAAAAATAAGGAACCGAAATAACAGAACTAGGAGGGGGCAACTGAGAAAGAGAAGGGAGAAAGAAAAAGATTAAAGATCGAAAAATATCTCCGAAAGCGATTCTGTTGATTTGCTTATTCAAATCTTTATCAAATTTATCTTTTAGATATTAATATCTTTTAGATATTAAATTATTCATTTGAGCATAAACATCTAGCTTAAATTTCTAGCCCGTGTTCCGTTGATATTTTTATTTTTGTTCTTAAAAGCCTTATTATTATTTAAATTAAATTTTTAATTTTTTTAATTTACTTTTCCTTGTTTAATAATTAATTATATTCTGTTTTACTGAAAACTCTGTCTTAATATATGTCATTGATAGATTTTAATAATTTTAAAAGTTCTACTGATTCTATTAAATTATATCTATATACTCGTATATATAAAACTAGTAACTTGCTTAAACTATTAATGCTAATGCAAAAAATAATGTTAATGCAAACTTTAAATTTTGCATTATTTATGAAATAATCGAATATTTTATCCAATGATTCGAGGGCATGACAATTAATATTTTATCTATATTAATGAACAATTCATAATTGTATATAATAAAATATAAGAAAAAGCTTATAAACGAGCAAAATAGATGTATATTTGATAGTATCTTTAATTTTACAATATAAAGATGGGACGTTTCGGCTTCAGCCATCTTCAGCCATTATAAAGATTCAATCCATATAAACGCATTATAAAATTAATATTAGGCTTAAAAGGCTTTTTAATTCTGCAATAAACAAGGACATTACAATGCACAAGAATATTAACAATAATAATGTTAACTAACAAACACATAACTATCCTGTAGCTGTGAAACAAAGAAAAATATCGTGGGTAAATACTTTAATAAATTAAATATGTTTATAAAGGTACAAAAAGACAGAGCTTTATCGATAGACAACGATAATGTTATATATAAATTATATTACGGCGATTGTAATGCTTCTTATATAACAAAGACAAAATTAAAATGAAGATTAAATAAAATATATCGGAAACATTAGAATGAATTTATCCAAACATTCGATCATCTCTGAGCAAATGGAGCTTAATCATAAATTTGAATGGAATTACGTTAAAATCATGGACTTTGAACCGAAATATTATAAAAGATTAATCTCGAAAGTTTTATACATTAAAGAAAATGGTCTTAATTTAAGAAAAGGTACGGAACTGTTAGATAAATCATATATTTTGATATTATTGCAAAATTAAAAAAAGGTCATATAAACATACATCTTTGTCTATTATAAAATAAATTCATTTAAAAAGAATACATACATATATTATATATATATATA